TTCCCTGCTTTTTCTCCTTAGCACTTACCACTATCTAATACACTACTTGATTTAGTTATCGTGTTTATTTTCTCTCTCCCCCACTAGAACACAAGCTTCATGATGGCAAGGATTTTCATCTATTTCCTCTCCTTTGGTGTCAACACTAGGGGCAGTGCTTGATACAGAACAGGGGCTCAAAAAATGTTTGTGGAATGACTGAACAGCACTGCAAGAGAGCGTGCTTACACAGGAGCTCATAATCTGTGAAAATATGGGATTAAGCTGTCAGCCAGATGAAGTTCTTTCATTTATAGCTTCTGTATTATTATTCTTAAAGGGCTGATATAGTCTTTAGCATACATCAAGCTTGGTGGGCTAGAAATATAACACCAGAAGTCTGAAGGCCTCACTTGTCTTGAACACAGTCTACTCTCTCAGCATCTTATAAAAAACATAGAACAATACTGTTCTTTTCTACCAAAACACTGAGGTCAGCTCAGCCCGCTAACAAATATTTATGAGAAGTCAGCTTGGTTTCTGGCATTGAAAAAGACAAAGAACCTGCTTTTAAGATGTTTTTATATTGGTGAAAGTTGACAAACAAACAAAAGGTAAACAATACAAATACTTAAATTAATTTCAGATAGTAGTAAGTACTAGGAAAATAAAACAGTATAAAGTGGTAGATGATGGCTGGAATGGGGGAAGGTTAGGAGGAGCTGCTTTAGTTAGGGCAATATTTGAAGAAGTGATATTTGAATTGTTAAATAAAATTATAGGAGGCCACTGTTTTGGACTAAGCTCCTAGACTAGGCCTGAGCAGACCATACTAAAAATCAAAATGCAGTCACCCCTGCTAAATTTCCAGTCACCAAAGTAAAACTAAGTAATTATCTGACCTTCCCAGAAATCAGAAGGCAGATATACAACCAATTTTAAATCATCAATAGGTACGACAATGAAGTTCCCTCTGTTTTAATCTTTACACAAAAAAGATAGCCTGAAGTAATCTGATGTTAACTAATCAGTTATTTTCCTATTTTTGGATCCCCCTGTCTCCACCTAATAAGGAAGGTAAATTTGAAATAACCAGTCCATTCTTTTGTTATTTCTGCTTTCTTCAGCCCCTTTTTCTTCTATAAAGTCAACCCTTTTTGCTCAGCTCATTGGAACACATTCTATTTTATGGAATAACATGTTGCCAGATTCTAGAATCGCAATCAAAGCAATTGAGCTCTTCAACTGAATTTGTTGTAATTCTGTTCTTTGACAGAATTAAGGCCAGAATGAAGAAAAGGGGGAAGCCATGAGATCCGTGGCAGGGGGGCCTCCTAGATGAAAGAAGGTGGTAGGTGTGTGGTGAATGCAGATGAATCTAGAAAAGAGAGAGAGAGAGAGAGAGAGACCAAGAAATAGCCAGAGGCCAGATCATGTAGGGCGTTGTAGGGCATGGTAAGGGATCAGGATTTTTATGTGTGGTGGGAAGCCATTAGAAAGTTCTAAGGAAATGATGTAATGTAGTTTCCAAAGGGTAATTCTGGCCGCTACACAGAGAATGACCACAGGCGGCCAGGATAGGCAGGTGGTGGGGGGGGTGGGGGGGCTGAAAGCTGGAGACTTTCTGTGGACTGCCACACTGCTCTGTCTGTGGGCATACCAGAAGTTATGCTCCTCCATCTTTCTCAGTCTCTTCTCACCCCTGGGGTTGGTTTTGGTTCAATTCTTGACTGGATTTCCTATTCCAAGTCTAAGCTTAGCAAAGAAAAGAAACTGAAAACAAAGAGGACAAGCTCTAGTACATCCCACTTCAGATGTCATTCTTAACCTAAAGTGCCACAGTGGGACAGCTGCTGGAACTCTCGTCAAAGAGTGAGAGTCAGACAGCACCCCAGCTCTTCTGCCCTAGCTGTGAAGCCACAGGAGCCCTTGATCCACCCAGGACTTCTTCCCATAGACTGAGGCCCCATTTTCAGAAAGTTCTAGGTACACAGTTCTGTGGATTCTTTTCTTTTGCCACCAAATATGGCAATGATTCCTTTTAACATATTTTACAATGTTCTCTACCCAGAAGGTATCCATAAATATTAATAAAAATTATAACTGTTACTCTACTGAATCAAAGAGCCTATGAGCTTCTTGCAGAGTTCTTGTTACAATTTGACTTACGGCAATATTTACTTAACGTGAATGACTATTCACTTAACACTTGGCCTTTTGACACTAACCACATTTTAAGCAATGCAAGTGCCAGCATGCACTCATGTGTGAAAAATATTCACCAAAAAAATATTAGCAGCAACAGCACATAAATTCCTCCCTCATTTTTAGAAGACCTGTTGAAGCTATTCTTGAAAGTAATTTCAGAGACTAGAAATATTAAAGGTCATGTTAAAATACTTGAAACAAATTATTCCTCTTCCTTTAGGAAAAATTTAACTGTACCCTACGAGGATATTAGCCTAATATCCTTTCCTTAAGATGGTGTTCAGAGACTAGTACCTACTTTATAAGTTAGCTCGTAAATAGGGGAGAAAGGAGCTCTGTAATTATTTTTAGGAAAGATGATTAAAACAGAATGGACAAATCCATATAACAATGTCATGTTTAACTGTATTATTTTTAAACACAAAATTAAATACTTTCCTAAGAAAAAAAAATAAAAGTTTTACTCTAGAGGAGAGTGAGAAATCTGATGGTAAACTTTAGAAAGAATTTTTTTCTTTTAATTCTAAGAATATACTGGGTGAAGAAGCTATAAACCTTAGAGATTTGTAGAAGGTTTTAAAACACTCCTATTTGGAAGCAGACAAATGGAGATCTATTTTTCAACTCTACAGTTACACGTGGCAGACAATTCTGCCTATTAAGAAGAACAGGCAAATTAATCCCTATAGGGAAGGAAATTCAAAATTCTTTTTTACCATGCTGGCGGTGGGGAGAAAATCCTTTAGCAGCAATTTGCACAAGCGTCCAATGACAATTTGACAGCTACATTTAAGTGAGCCTCGTGTAAATAAGGAGAGTAAAAGATAAAGTTGGAGACTGTTAGCAAATATATCACTTCTATTTCCCAACCACCACAGAGAAAAAAGCAAGCATGAAGACTATTCTTTTTTTTTTTTTCCTTTTTGTCTTTTTTCATGACCGGCAACGGATCGCAACCCTCAGTGTCGCGCCCGTACTGGACCAGGACCGGCAATGGGATCGCAACCCTCAGCGTCGCGCCCGCACCTCGCTCAGCCAGTGAGCGGCCGGTCTGTATGTGGGATCCGAACCCTCAGCGGGAGCGCCGCCGCACTCTCAAGCGGTGCACTGTAGCAGTGTGCCACCGGGCCGGCCCAAGACTGTTCTTTAATGAGAGAAAAGGAGAAATATATTTTGGAAGAATAACTTTAATTGACAGGACACCTGTTTCCTCAATATAAATGATGTGTTTATATGTCATTTTATAATGAGAAAAGAAATTGTGAAAACAGCATGTAGTACAGGAAGAAGACAAATTAGAATCTAAGACAAATAATGAGCCTTACAACTGAAGGCAATCCACAGGATGACAACGAACATTAAAATACTACAAGCATTTTGATGTCTATAAAGTCCACAGATGTGTCTGTCTATATCCCTTGCTCCTATTTTTCCCTCCCTCCTGCCCTTTCTTCCTAATACACCCTGAGGCAGAGCTCGATACAAATTTATAGTGTTGAATAAGTGGCTTTATTTCAAGAAAACTCATGAATACCCAGAGCAGGGCTGGCAGCTTGGGGAAGTTTTTTTTTTTTTTTTTGAAGCTGTGCCACTACTGTTAAGGAAAATGAATAGCCTTTCTATTCAGCAGCAGCATCTCTCCCTTCATTTTCACACTGTGTTGATGTGCTCCTAATTCCTCAGTGAAAATATGCACAGAGGAATGAAATATCAAGAGGCGTTTTCATTTGTAAAAGTGAACATATCAGTGTATTCTAAGGTTTTCAATAATGAAATTATAGAATTCATTTTTTGTACTATCAATGTTTTCTTTTAAGGGTTTTATATCTGTAAATCATAAGCAAAAAAATGAAAACGTCTCGAATATTACAGAACTTAGCCAAGCACTGATTTAAAAAGCAAAAATCTTGAACTACTACATTTGAATATTTAACCAAATCAGAGCGGATGTTTTATGGAGGTATCAATGGCTCTGAAGGCCGCTTTAGAAATGCACAGGACTGAGAACAGAACTGAGGTTATCAGAGGTGGGAAAGGGGGAAAAGGAAGAATTGATAAAGGGCCATGAAAAATAATAACATTGTATAATATTGAACATACTATTATTCTGATTCAAGCATCACATATTGTGCATAGGTATTGATATGCAACTCTGTACCCCATAACATGTAGACATGTGCAATCATTTCAATTAAAAAAAAAATTCACAGAACTGGAAAGGTGTGTGTGTTAGGTTACTGCATAAGGATGAAACATTGTTTGAGGTTCTGTGGAAATCAATGTACTTTACCCTAATAGTAAAATACAACATGAGGCTTCAGAATTTGGAGAGATATTCAAAGGAAAATTATATTTAAAATAAATATACACTATTAATTAAAACTTAAATAGAATACTATTTATCAGTTGATTTAGCTGACCCATTTTCTTGAATATTGACAATGACTATATCCTACAGTATCTATAAATTAAATGACAAGATTAGAATTTAATTCCTTTACAGAACCCAAGGTGATATTAAAATATAATAATAAAATAGCAGTGGATAAATACCTAAGTTGCTATGACTTGAAGATGTGATATTGTAACGTGTTTCATAACTTCACCTATTCTTGATATGAATTTCCAGCATTAGAGAAATCATTTTGAGGTTGATTATTGTAACTACATCTAGTAAAACATATATAAACACCAAAGCACCAAAAAGAAAAACTTGGAAGTCTACCAAGAAACCCTTGTGGCCTGCTAAGAAGAGCTGTCAAGATTACCACATTATTCCACAAATTTTTATATTTTTCTTGGTAAATATGTACCTGTGTTTCTTAATGTCATTAATTCCATTCTTCAGATTTCCCAGCCTTTCTGTTGGGTTTTGCCTAAAATGATAATTATTTAAAGGCAGTTTATAATAATTATACTTGAGTAAATTTAAAATTAAAATGTAGTATTTATTTCTTCATACATTTATTCATTCATCAAATAACAGTCATAGAGTTTGTTCTGTAGAATTAAAATTACAATTGAATTAAAGTTATACACACACATACACACACACACACACCAGCGCTTTAAAAAAAGCTATGAATAAATGCTGAAAAGAGCTGAATGGCATTATCTTACCAACTCTAAGAAAACCAGGGAAAGCTTTAGAGAATCAGTTACACCTAAGCCGAAAGTTTAGAAGCATGTAGGAATTCCTATTGGCAACCCACAGCTAGGTTTTACGTTCTAAATTTACCAAATTTTCGTGCTTTTTTTAAAAGTTCAAATGTGAAAAAAAAAACTAAAAAAGCAGCCAAATTAATTTTGAACAAAGAAATCTAGCAGTCTTCTATTTTCCTATAAATAATTTTGAATAGTAAGTAGAAATGTGTGGTAATTCAAAATAAGAGCAGAGGAGTACTTTTTTAAAAACAAATATTGAAAGAGGACATATAACAACACTTTATCAAAATAACAAGATTGTAAATTAATTAATCTTTTTTTAACCTGAGGTCTGTGGTTCTATTTTGTTCTATAACAGACAAAAATGATTCCCAAAGGTAACCTGAGAAATTTAGATCACTTTCTAAACTGTAAGTAAAAATGTGTAGAAATGGAAACTGGAAGCTTTTACACGTTCTCCAAGACAAGGGATTACTAATTGTCATTCTCACCTGCAAAGCCTGCGAATCAAATCCTCAGGCCGTCTTGTGATCTTTCTAGGAAAATCCATCTTTTCTATTCCTTTGAGAATCAAGTTATAGGTCATCATTTGGTCAATCCCAGAAAAGGGTGGGCTAGAAAAAAAATCCGAAATAGGACACACTAGGACCAGAGTCTGAGATACATTTAGAATTAATTTTCTTTCTTCCTTCCTTTCTTTCTTCTTTCTTTCCCTATTCCTTCCCTTCTTTTCTTTCTTCCCTCCCTCCCCCTTCTATTAGTTGTTTTATAACAAATCTGGACATATGCTAGAAAATCATTTCATTATGTTCATATCACTTAACAAATGACACACACATGCACACACACAGGTAATTTGTCAGTTTGTGACGATCACTAAAAAGGAAGATAAAGGAGGGAACAGAGAGTAACAGAGAGAAGGTGTTATTTTTTTAGACAGAGTGGATAGGAAAAGCCTCTCTCCTAAGGTAACAATTTAGAAGCGTTCTTGGAACAGTGAAGTGAGCCGTGTGGCTGGTGGTGTGAGTGGCAGGAGAGGAGCATAAGAGATGAGGGCAACGTCACATAGATCTGGGGGGCTATGGTAAGAACCTGGGAATACAATCCGGTCAGTGATCTAATTTACAGCAGCCAGAGTAAACTTTTTTGATGTGTGGACAATAAACTATGATGGTGGTAGTGAAGGAGATGAAGGCCTGGTAGCCTGACCTAGGGCAGTAATGTTGAAAATGGTGAGGTGTGGTTGGTTTCTAGATCTATTTAGATGGTGCAATGGACTGAACGTTTGTGTCCCTTCCAAATTCATATGTTGAAACCCCAACCCCAATGTGATAGTATTTGGAGGTGGGGCCTGTGAGAGGTCATTAGGTCATGAGGGGGAGCCCTCATGAATTGGACTAGTGCCCTTTTAAGAAGAGGCCTAAGAGCTAGCTGGATGTCTTTCCACCATGTGAGGATACAACCAGAAGTCAACAGTCTGCCACTCAGAAGAGGGCCCTCATCAGAACCCTACCATGCTGGCACTCTGATCTGGGAATTCCAACCTCCAGAACTGTGAGAAATAAATGATTACTGTTGAAATCACCCAGTTTATGATATTTTGTTATAGCAGCCCAAGCTAAGGCTGAGGTAGAGCCAAGAGGATTTGCTAATGGGGTGAATGTGTCCTGTGAGAGAGAGAAAGGACTTAAGTATGATGCCAAAGTGTGTTGGCCTAGGGGACAATAGAAAAGAGCTATCGTTTACTAAGAGAAGAAAGACTGGGGTGGAGGTAAAAGTGCAGAGCAGGTTATGGGGAAGGGAATCACGAGTTATGTTTTGAACATCCAAATGGAGATGCCAGACAGGCAGCTGGATTTACAACTGTGGCATTCAGGGAAGAGGTTAGGGCTGGAGGTATGATCTGGGGAGTTGTCAGACATATTTACAGCTGTGGGAGACATGATGACATCACCCAGGAGTGAGTGGATAGAAAAGAGGCCAGGGACTATAGTGGCCCAATGTTGAGAGGTCAGGAAAATGAGAAAAATCCAGCACTGCAGACTGCGAAGGAGCCACCAGTGTAGGAAAAGGAGACGGTCCTAGAAGCCAAGTGAAGAGAGTATTTCAAAGAAAGTATTGCTAAGATAAGGAAAAAAGGATTGAATTTGGATAACATTTTAACACATATGTTTTGCTTTTAAAAACACTTTCGTTAAGCCATTTAATTTTTGAGAATTAAAGATGACTTTCATGAAATACTCTGCTGTATCTCAGTCATGCTTGAAACCTTTTGATACTGAGAGTTCCCACCCCTGGTAATACACCTGAAACAAAGTCAGTAACCAACTTGTCAATAATCTATGTTTCACTAGTAAAGAATATAAGGTGGGAAACAAAAACCATTTCTATGATATTTCAACTTATTTAAATATTGACAACTACATTGTTTTGTTTTTTGTTTTGTTCTTTAGTTTTTTTTTCCATTTTCATTCACCTCCTGACACTCTAGAGCTCATGGCATTTAAAATTAACTTTTCTCATGTCCTACCTTGGAAACATTTATGAAAACAACTTCCCAACTTCTTTATGACAGCTCAAGTCCACCTTAGCAATTCCAATTTTGGGGGCTTTTCCCCCTTCCTTATTCCCTCACTTTATTTTCCTACTCCTTATGAAAATTTATTACAACTGATAAAGACTGACATGTGTATTCTCTAGTTACCTACAGGAACCATCACGTACGTCTTAGAAATGTAGCTGACAAATTTCCCAGGAATGAGGAAACAAACTCCTGAAATAGAATTCCTTGTTCCCAAGACTTTAAACAACTTTTCCCTCTGAATGACTGTCTGGAAATTTTTTTCTTTCCTCCTTCCTTCAGAATCTTAACTAATAAATATTTGAAAGTGATTATAGATAATATAAAATGATCTTTCATACTGTTTGCTCAATGCATGTAGACAAAGATATAGAATATAATCACAGGAAATCACTGAAGACTGTAAGCTAAAAAAAATCAAGAAAATTCTATGAAACTCTCCGTTTTGTCAAGTATGTGTTGAGACTTGTATCCCCAACAATGGACTCATCCCAGTATTTCTTAAACCATTGTACATGTGAATCCTCTCTGAAATTAACACTGAGAATATCTGGTCATAAAGGATTCTAAGGATGATCAAATCAGTTAATGAGAAAGGGAGGTGGATAACCAGGAAGAAAACTGATCTGAATCCCGTGTATGTCCATGCCTTATATCATAAAACCATACATATATATATATATAGCACACATATATATGAAAAGTGTGTCACATTTACAGGCAGAAGACCTAGGATCAAATTACTGACCTTATGCAGGTAGCTCTGTCACCTGGTTTTCTAGTCCATAAAATCAAAATCATAAAATAATAATAGTAAAAATTGATACCATAAAATAATCATAATAAAAATTCCTGTCTTATCTTCCACACAAGTTTGTGAAAAGTAAACCAGATAATACACATCTCAGTGCTCTGTAAACTGTCAAGGGCTTTCCAAATGTGAGGTAATATTACATATTGTCTATGGGTGTGTCTGCATGCACACTTGTGTGTATGTGTGCACATGCATCTAAATATTTGGAATCCTGGATTCATTAATATGGTTCTTCAATCTCTTTGGGAATGATAATTCAATTTTAACTGCTAAAACTCTGTTGCGTCTGGTCTCTGTTCATTAGCACCTCTAGAAAGAAGTTGACAAGGGGATTAAAATTTAAATCCCATCTCAGTGCTCTGTAAACTGTCAAGGGCTTTCCAAATGTGAGGTAATATTACATATCGTCTATGGGTGTGTCTGCATGCACACTTGTGTGTATGTGTGTACATGCGTCTAAATATTTGGAATCCTGGATTCATTAATATGGTTCTTCAATCTCTTTGGGAATGATAATTCAATTTTAACTGCTAAAACTCTGTTGCATCTGGTCTCTGTTCATTAGCACCTCTAGAAAGAAGTTGACAAGGGGATTAAAATTTAAATCCAGCAATGTGGCTTTCTCTTAACATTTCTGGTTAATAATATGTCAAGAAGATGAAAGAACATGGCTAAATTTAGTTTAATTGATCAACAGATTCAACTGAACCAGGATTGCTATTTTCTCAATTACAAAAAAAGAGGAAATAAGAAGATAGCCCACAACTTTCATTCCTTCTTTTACTCTCATGTTAGATTATCAAAACCTTCATATGCTTAATATGTAATCTATAGTAATAGGTCTTGCCATTGTAGGTAAACCATAGCAATGCTACAGTCTTTTACTTCACCTTCTTAAATCTTTTCTCTGTGTCATAAACTAGTAAGCTCACTGTATGTGAAATGATGTAAAGAGGAAAAGACATCATACCTAATCACAAATACTTCCAAAACGTAAACTCTTAAATTATATATATACATATTTATCATTAGTACATTATTTTTGCACTTCTCTAAAGAAGAGGCTGAACAAAATTTGGAAGGTACATACTTGCCCGTTAGGAGCTCATACACTAGGATTCCCAGTGACCAAAAATCCACACTGAAGTCATGTCCTTTGTTGAGAATGACTTCAGGAGCTACATACTCTGGAGTCCCACAGAATGTCCATGTTTTCTGTCCAGATCCTATTTTCTTAGCAAATCCAAAGTCAACCTGGAAAAGAATGCCAAAGAAATTTTCAGAGACCATATAACTTATGCTCCTCCTTAAGTTTCTTTCTAATTCCCCAAATCTTCTACGTCCCCAACCTTCCCTTCATGCTACACACACACACACACACACACACACCCTCTCATATTCCTTTGCAACTTTCTATGTCCACAACCCCATGAAGGAGAGAGAAATGGCTTAGCAAGGGGAAGCCATACATAACAAGAGATTTGAAGCTCAGAGCAAGAAGGACTAAAACAAATTTCAATTCAATGGTGGTAATCATTGGGAAGAGTAGCAAAGGGGAAAGTGATGGACCCCCGTGCACTTAAAGGTCCATCATATAAGTAAAAATAATGACAAAATTGAGAGTTTGAAAAAGGTACTACTGCTAAGAAGAAGGGGGGCTTAACACTCTGCAGACTTTAAAAGCCATTATACACAGTGTCTGCGCCCCATACGTTTCGGTAGTCCAAAGCAAAGCCAGCATCATCTCATCCCAGCTTTGAGCTCTGTACACTTTCAGTCTCTCTCGGAGAGATAGTGATGGATAGCACCTGCACTGGCTTATTTATTCTGAAAATACACACTGAGCATTCAGTTTAGGTCAGACTTTGTGCTAGACCTATAGATACAGAGCCGGCTATGAGAAGAGAAACTTATGCGTATATGATTGATATTATATCATGTCAGACATGATAAAATAGAACAAAGTATAAACTCAGAGAACCGAAAAACCTACACTTCCAGAACATTAGGGACATATGATTGGGGAGGATGTTATCAAGAGGTGACATCCGAGCTTGGCCCTAACTGAGGACTAGAAGCTCTCCCAGGAAAATGAATCACTGCCAACCTCCTCTGTCCTCTTCCACTTCTCTGAGACTTTACTCAAGGAACTCTGTGCAAAGAATAGACAGGAAAGAAGGCTGGAGCTACAGAAACCCCCCTCACTGAATCGAGGCAGTGTATATGACTGAAATCCTGCCCTGCACAACAAACGGTTGGTTTCCTTCCACAGGGGTTTTTAGCATGTACTTTTATGTCCAATATATACAGATATTATTTTAAGAAAACTGCTCTCCATTTTAATAGCTTTATTATACATGGACTCTCTCAATAATACTCCAATAATCTCGGCTAAAACACTAAAAAAACAAGGTTAACATATCAAAATAAGCTCTCACCTAAAAAAGTATGAGTCAGTGAATATAAAATCCAGCCCCCATTTATTTATTCAAATATTAATATTTAAAATCTTTATTTTACCTTAAATAAGTCTCTTAAAAATTTATCTCTTATTAATACTTTCTAGAATTTAACACATAACAGCCAGGATTTCCTTATTGGAACAAAAGAATTTAAACAACCTAATTTGAAGTGTTTTCTTCCAATTTACTTTTACTGTTTTCTTTCATCCACACAAAATGACTCACAAAGATTACATCTAAGAGATGGCTGGGGATGTTATGAAATTAAAATTTATAACCAGCTGAGATCAGCACATCTACTTACTCCTCAGAGAAAGAACCAATATGAAAACCATAGCTAATTTTATAAAGACTGGAATTTGAGACAAGAAAGCAATGCTTATAAGTGCATATGTATGCATACATATATGGAAATATTATATTCTGTAGGTTTATAACAACCTTTCAACTCATTTTTCTAGTTGCACTTAAGTTTTCCTTGTAAGTGTAACTGGAAGTTCATTAGCTATTTCGGAGAGTTTTTCTAGCTCTGAAGTGATATATTTTAAATTGCTGGTTTTCTTTTAGTAATATTTACATATTGGACCAAAGAGATGGCAATATTATCAATTTTAGGATTTATCAAAACTTATCACTTTCTTTATCTCATTTAATCGTATCAACTTTGGTCTAATCCATTTGGTCACAGAAAACTGACACTCAGACCTATCCAAAGTCATGTGCCTAATACAAAAGACCCCAGATCTTCAAGTTCTGTGTACTTTCTATAAAAATCACACTACCTCTACCTTGTACCACACCATGGATGCCACCCCAAACCCTCAGTCTTTTTTTTTACCCCAGCCACTCCAAGCAACAGAAAGGTAAGTTCCTCCATTCATTCATTCAGCGAATATTCCCTGAATACCATTATGTACCAAAAACCTGTCTGAGGAGGTAGCACTGGAGCAGATCTGAGTGGAAATCTAAGGGAAATAAAAAAAGAGAGCTCTGTAAAAATCTGAGCAAGAGTGACTCTGCCAAAAGGAAGAGCTAGTTCAATGTCCTGAGATGGGAATAGGCGTGGTAACTTCAAGGACTGGCAAGAAGGGCAGTGTGACAGTTCCACACGCGTGAAGTGGAGAGAGACAGGAAGTGAGGGCAGATTATGGAGTGTTGGCAAACCACAGAAAGAACTTCAGATTTTTTTCTGAGAAGTCATTGTAGGATTAAGAGAAGGGGTGTAGCATAGCCCAACTTATGTTTTAAAGTAATCATTCTAGCAAACAATGAATCCTTTCACCCACCTCAATTCTACTAGCAAAACTGGGCTTTCAAGAAGAAATCTCTGGAGAAGTTGTTCACAGATTTTCCCTTGACTCTATTAAATTCTTATTATTAAAGATGGCTTACATTACGCTAAAAGTTTAAAAACATTGTCTCCAAAGATTTTAATAAGCTAGAAGGTATTAAAATGATTCTAAATCCTCAGTGATGATTGCATCATTCAGAAAGAGAAAAATTAGCATTGCGGCTTGCTGGAGTTGGTGTCCAGTAAGTCTGAGCTTTTTCCCAGAAGTTTCTCTCTGGGTCAGTAAATGTGTCAGATTTTGGTTCTCTCGGTCACATAAAAATGGACACAAAATGACCAGTCTAATTAAGCCAGATGATTCACGGAGACATAACTTTCCATAAAAATATTTATGTGGCATTTTTAGGGCACTTACTCTACCCAAGTCTAGACAAGGGTAAAATGGAATCTGTCTGTCCTGTCCACCGACAACCAAAGTTGATTTAATGTCCTTTTGATACTAATGTCCATCCACTAAAAGAAACAATGAATGGTTTCCATCGTGCAAGTGAGAGTGAGAGAGGCTAAGGCATGGGCGCATGAGTCTTCCATAACAATGACCTATTCTTCATGGGGACATGGTAAGTCAGCTAAAGTACTTAAAGTATTTAGTAGAAGGTGAGCAAGATGAAGGGAAGATTTGCATGCACAAGGACAAACTGGAAAAATCCTTTGAGGCTTATCTCATGTACCACCACCTCTTTGAAGTCATCCTTGAATTACAGAACCAATTCCTTTTTCCTACGAGGTTCTTTAACACTGTTTATATTCTACAACTATATCCCTCATGGCAGGCAGCATAGTCTAATCGAGTGAATTAGTCTAGCTCCTGGAGAAGAGGCATTATATCCTATTCATTTCGTACCCCTACACACAGCAGATGTTCAAGCGTCTCTGATGAAAAAAACTGAATGAAGAGAAAACTGTTAACATCAGTTTCAAGAGGATATATTGAGGTCTAGGAAGGTCATGGATACTTATATGAGGTGAGATTTGGACAAGATTTCAAAGGAAACCTCATTATAGATAAATTGATGAGGAAGTAGAAGGTATTTAAGGGAGCAGCAGCAGCATATGTTAAGCACATTGGTGGGAAAAGCTTAAGTACGTCGTTCTTAAGTATAGCTATAAGCAATAATGGTTTGGCAACAAAAATATGGTTGGAGCTGATGATTCTTTTTATTTTTCAAGTTAGGAAATACTTGACATATAAAATAATGTGACATATATGCAAGTTATAAAGCATGAGAATAAAAACACCCCTGTACCCACCACCAGTTAAATAACCAGAACAAAGCCAATACAGAAGCCCTCTGTGCTCGTCCCAAGTGTCCTCCTGCCCATTGCCAAGAGGTCACCATTACCCTGACTTTTGCATTTATCATTTGCTTGCACTCGTTTCTAATTTTACCACATATCTAATATCCCTATATACTATACAGTTTATATATTTAAAAATTTTAGATAAATCTTATATCTATTCTTGGGCAAACTGCCTTTTTTCATTCAAAATTATATTTGTGAATTTAATCCTTACTGAAGTCCATTTATTTTCACCGATGTATATAACACCATTTAATTAACACACTATGACTTTGTCTACCATGATGCTGATGGACATTTGTGTTATTTCCAATCGTGTGCTATTACAAAAATGTTTCCATTAACATCATTTTCCATGTTATCTAGTGGATATGAGAGAGTAGAGGGGCTGACTGGTTAGCTCAGTTGGTTAGAATGCAGTATTTTAACACCAAGCTCAAGGGTTTGGATTCCCATACCACCCAGCTGCTAAAAGAAATAGAGAGAGAGAGAGGTAGAAATGCTGGGTCAAAGACGTGGTATCTTCAGCTTTACTAGATATTGCCAAATTATTTTCCAAAGGGATTGTGCTGTACTCTCTCTCCCTTCACCAGAAGTGTATAGGAGTTCTGATTACTGTACATCCTCTATCATTTAGTAATATAAACTTTTAAATTTTTGTCATCCATGTAAAATTAGTAATTAGTTTGAGCTATAACTTTATTATTAGTTCTCATATCTGAGAAAGCAATTTCCTCCCACCCTGTTCTTATTTGTCTTCAGAAATGCCTTGGCTTGGCTATTCTGGGCCCTTGGTTATTCTACATCAATTTTAAAATCAGCTTGCCAATCATCATGAAAAGCTCTGCTGAAATTTTCATTGGAAGTGTAATAAATCTGTAGATTAATTTGCAAGTATTGATATATTTAGGATGTTGAGTCTTCTTATTCTTAAACAGTGCATCTTTCTGAGTTTGTTAGGGTAATGTTAGCGGCTGCAACAAACATATCCTAGAAGGTATAAAAGCATAAACTGTTCATTAATTACTTCTTCCTTACATAATGGGTTTTCCTGAGAAGCAGGGTTATCTCCTTTAAGCTATGATTGAAAGACTCAGACTCCTTCCATCTTAGGAATCTGCCAACTTCAAATTGGCTAT